TCTTATTGGAGTACACCTCACATACTTCTGGTACGCCCATCGTACTTCGTTAAGCATCCATGATCATTTTGCTTAGTATGCCCAGCGTACACCAATATATGCCCCGCGTACTGGCCTTAACACTAGTACACCATGCGCACACTTGTGTACGCCCTGCATACTCGGTTAAACCCTAAAACCACCAAACTTCCGAAGGTCATAACTTCTTTGTTATAAGTCCGTTTCCAACGATCCTTATATCCACAAAAAGGTAACGAGAAGCTCTACGATTCTACAAACTCATGCTTTCCTTAAAACTTCCTGAACTAAAATCCAATTTCCATAAAAGCCCGAACTGAGACTTTACCGATATACCCCTTAGCTCTGAAGCACCAACCGATTTCCTAGATCTTCTAAATTACATTACTCATACCCAAATAGGGTTAAATCCTTTTTCCTCAAAGGCCCTAAGCCTGATGATACCCGATCTTCGGTGACCACCCCTCATTAGGAAACGATTCGAAACAGGGCATTACATTCCTATTCATAGGCATCCAGTTTCTTAGAGCTTAAGCAATTGTCTTATTTCTAAAATCCTCAAGGATATTTCTATTAATTAAACATTTTAATTAATTAACATCCAAACCTTGTAATTAATTTTAATCTAATAATTAATTCCAAAATAGTTTTTAATTAATTTATCACAACAAGAAAATTTAATAAACTAATTTCTCTAATTTTCCTTTTGTCTTTTAGTTACTCAACTAGGTCTCGAGGAGAATAGGATAATAGTACTAATAGTTATAACCTTGGACACTATTTCCAACATATACCTCTTTTAACATTGAAAAAAGGTGTGGAGAATATGACAATGAACTAATTCTAGAAGGAGATTTGGATTGAAAATGTCATTTGTCACTTTTCCAATACTTTTTAAAATTAAACAAGAAAAATATTGCCTCGTTTATGATAGAAGATAAATTGGTATCTAGAGATGGAGCGGGAGGCGATATCCAAGGGGTGGAACCAAGTTTGAACAACTCTCGACTCTTTTCATCTTATAGGAGTCGACTGTGTTAGCGCCTCAAACAAATAAGTGGATTTGGGATCTTCTAAATTTGGAGAGACTTTACGGTTAGAGCCACGAGAAGCCATATTGACAATAACTTATTGACGAGTGGTTATTATGCTACAAGGTTGCACAGGTTTCTGCCTAAGAAAGTCGATATTCTTTTGTGGAGGATTCTGTTGAATCGTCTTTCTAATAAGGAAAATTTGGTGTCTATAGGTAATAATCTTCCTTCTACTTTATGCTTTGTTTGCAACGAATCGTCTTTCTAATAAGGAAAATTTGGTGTCTATAGGTAATAATCTTCCTTCTACTTTATGCTTTGTTTGCAACAATCATGTAGAGGGGATGGATCATTTTATTTTTAATATGAGGTGGTTGTGTAACTTTTGGAGTGAATTGGTTAGTGGTGTGATATTGTCATTCCTAAGTTTAATTAGGTATGTGATTTGATATTATTGCTTGACACTTTACCCTGGTCAAATTGTAAATGTGTGGACTTGGATGTGATTTTCCTGATGGCTTGGTGGTATATTTGGAAGTCTAAAAACTATTTTTTATTCGATGCAAGTAAACCGAGAAGGGATGTCATTTTTGATGGTATTGTAAGACTGGAAGAAATAGTGCCACATTTATCACGGTTTACGTAGGCACTACATCAGATTTGTCACACTCCTTCAAATTTTTGCCATTTACATGGCATGTCTTGCCACACTTGTCATGCTATTTTTTTAAAAATAATTCATTTAAAGAAATAAAGATTTCTAACATAATATTTTTTTAAAACTAAATTTCATTAAACTAGAAAATAAAATTACAACACAAAAAAAAACATAGAATTTCAAATTAAGAACCTAGAAACCACAAAAAAAAAACATAGAAATTTAAATAACGAAATCACAAACCTAAAATAACGAAACCTAGATGTTGTATTCTTTTCGCAACCTCCTCTTTTGCTTTTATCGTCATTTCTTTTTCACATCTGGTGAGAGCGCTAGTGTCTCTCGTTAGGATTGTCATGGTACAGTTTTTTTCTTTCTCTTGTACGACCGCCAAATATTGTTCCAAAGACAACTTCAAATTATCCATTTTGGTTGTTAGTTAGTCGATGTCACTCGAAGCACATCCGGAACCACTTGTCGTCGCTTTTCCTTTTCGCTTGGCTCAGTCTCTTCCCATAGGACGAGTGGCTCTAGGAATCTCAAAAGGCTCATCTTCTTTGAGGTCAATCCTGATATGCGCATCAAACGACTGATTAATGTTTTGGTTCTTTTAGATGAACCGTTTGTAAAGGTTTTAGAATCATTGACCTCTTGCCAATTTTTTAGACAATTTCAAAATATATCAAACATGTAGAAATTTGAAATTGACCACTTTCTGATTCCGATACATTTCAAGATATTCCTGCAAAATAGTTTCGTCGTTTGCACCACTTGATCATTGTCCTTTAAGACTCAAAAACACACCATTAAACTCCAAACCACTTTGTTAATATTTCTCCACTTCGAATAAATTTGGTCTTTTCTGTTACTCTCAAAGATTCATCTCCATGAGAAAACACCGTGTAATTTTTCGGAAAAAAGTTGGACAAACTTGGTTGTTTCTGACTACCGGATCTTCAGAATTATCCACCCACACACGAGCTAACGTATTTTCTTCGGCCGATGTTCATTGCTTGGGGCTGCCCTTCCTCTTTTTTGGGTTGTGGTCGATTCTCTTCTAACTCCAATTCCGTTTCGAGGACGACTTCGGGTTCCCCTCAAGTTTGGAATTGGGTTTGGAAATTCATTGGGGGAGTCAAGAAGATTGTCAAATAGGTTGAAACCATTTTCCATTTGGGATAAGAAGTTCATTTGATATTGGTTTTGAAACTGAAGTTATCTTTGAAATAGATGTTGGTTTTGGGCTTGGAATGGGTAGTAAACACCACCAAAGTATGAATTTGGAAAAAAAAAAAATTGGTCGGTTGCTTTGACATTGAATGAAATTTGGTGAAGAATATGAGATTAGGTTTGTGTTTTGGATGATTCTTTTGGTGTTTTATTGGTATTTTGGGTTAGAAGGAGAAGTTTTTTCATAAAAATTATGTTGTTAAAGTGAAAAAATAAAGAAGGTGAAGTGAGATGAAATATGGTATGTAAAGATATTTATATAGGGTAAACAAATGAGAATTTTTGAATTTTTTTTGAAAAAAACAGTCAAAAGACCAACTCCAACGTTCAAAAAAAAATTAATTTCGCCATTTATGGGCGGCTCAACTATTTTGGGGGCTCAACGTGAGCCAAAAATTTGGGGCCATTTGGTCTTTGTTATACTCGGTAGATGAATATGTCGCAAAAATCAAAATCAGTAGAAGAATGCAATATCATTTTAGTTTCATGAATGCAGTGATCATTGATTTATTCTTTCGCTTCATTGATTTTGTGGTTACCGGATTAGATATTTTAATGGACTAAACTTTTGGACTTTAGAGAATATGAGGCCCCTTAGAATTGGGGATCCTAAGCCCTTGTTTAAAAAAGCTCAACATAGAGTCGGCCCTGAGCCAACCACCTTTTCTCTCTCATCGGTGCATTTCCGCCGAGTTGCCGAGCTGTGCTCGGCATGTCGAGTCCTCGGTCCGGTATTCGCTGCCGCTCCCACTCCCACTCCCACTCCCACTCCCACTCCCACTGATCTAAGGATTACTTTGACTTTGTTTGTGTATAGAAATCAAAACCTTAAAGTAGATGGGTTCCTTTGTTTTAAAACTCAATGCGTGTTATCCATTTGTAATTGTTTTTTAGATTCTAGCTAGCTATAAAATTCGGTCCTTCCACAAAAAATATGTCATCGTTTGGATAATTAAAGTTCAAATATTAACCGTTTTCGACAATATTTTTTAAATACTCAATGTGTTGCATACATCATTAAACTAGTTTTGCAAGACAAACGTAAATATATAGAAGATAGAAAGAAAAAATTTAAGGAAATTCTATGTGATATTATTTAGTATTAGGTCATGTATTATATTAGTTTATTTAAAAAAATTAAATATAAAATTCAAAATATTTAAGAAGTTTGAATTTATAAGAAAAGTGAGAAAAATATTGAATTATAAAAATGAAAGTGTTTTTTTCACTTTTGAATTTAAACAAATGATTTAGATAAATAAATAAAAGAAATTAATGAAACTTTAATTTAGTAATTTTACAATTTGAAGGGAAAATCTATTAATCAAAGTGATATGCATTTATTAATAGATCTAAAATAATATATGAAATTTAATAAAATGGAAAAAGCATAAAATGATATGTGGAATAAAAAGTAATTTAAAATAACCATAAAATTACGTGACAAAATGAATAAGAATGTGTCATGTGGCAAAAATGTATTAGAGTAGAAGATATAAAAAAATCATGTAATGATGCAAGTTATATTGTTTAGTTATGAACTAGGGAAGATGCTTGTGCAACGCACGGGTTCACATGGGTTAGAATGGGTTAGAGCTGTTGGTATTTGTTTTACAATCTACATGAATGAAGAAGAAATAAAACAATTTCAAACTTAAAAGGAAAAAAAAAAAAACAACACTCGTCACCCTGGATTGTGTGCTAAAACCTCCTCATTTATGAAGTTCTTAATTTTCTCTTCACCCAAAAAGATAAGGGTGTGTAGTAATACATCTCCAACTGCTCAAAAGATAAATTTTGATTAGTCTTTTTTTTTTTTTTTGAAGCAGGTGAAGGTTTGAGATATGGTGTTATTTGTGATTCATTTAGGTGGATCACAAGTTTACATTGTATTGACTAAATTAATAACCAATGCATGAATGGGTACGTAAAAGCTAAATACAAAATAAGAATTAAAAATTAGTAGTATATTAGTAGTATACCTCTGTTAATATGTGTGTTAAAATGCATATTTGACTAACATTTAGCAGGAAAAAAGGTTTTTTGGCTGATGCATCACGTCAAGGTTTGAATAGAAGCATAGAACCTGATACCATTTGTAACAACATATTCAGTCACGCTATATTGATAATCAATATAGAGCTTAAGTTTCAATTGAGATCACATATGATTTAAAAATACAATTCATTTAAGGGTACACACTAATGAGACGCTGTTTATCAAAGCTAATTTTAGGGAAGCTAAACTTTATCCCTCATCATTCACATCAATTTGCAAAAAGAAAAACCACCTGGCCTTAAGGTATAATAGATTCTCATGAACTGCACACATGGTTGATTGGAGTTTTGTCAATCCAAACTCAACACTAGGGATGAGATTTAGAACCGGAAAACCGGACCGGAACCGGAACCGGACCCGTTAGAACCGGAATATATAGAACCGGATCCGGTTTCGGGTTTAAAAATTGGCTTTATCCGGGTTCCGGGTAATCCGGGTTTGGGTCCATTGGGTCCAGGTAAACCGGGTCTAAAATCCGGAACCGGTTTTTGGAACCGGAACCACTTTTAGGGCCGGAACCACTTTTTGTGAAACGTTTACAAGATGTATATCTTATTCGTTTCAACTCCAATTGACATACGGTTTTTTCCAACATGTAGTTTAGAGTTTGTATATGATTCTAGACTATAAATTTTTCATTTTTAGTTTTATATTCATTGACTTACAGTCCTCAAAAGTTGAGATACCAAAGCTGAAAGTTTTTAGTTTTTTAGTTTTTTTGTATTCGGTGAAAGTTTTAAAGCATGCATATCTAATTCGTTTGAAGTCGGATTGACATGTGGTTTTTTTTCAACTTCTAGTTTACAGTTTGTGCATGAGTTTAGACTATAATTTTGTCATTTTTGGTTTAACATTCAATGATTTACAATCCTCCGAAGTCGGGATATCAAAACTGAAAATGCTTTTGTCAACACCCTCTAAAGCAGTTTAAGAAATCAGACAAATATAGATATTCTTTAGGGTACAGAAAATAAGATGACCTGAGAGTGAAATCTTAGGCTTGTAAACTATTTTTGTATCTGTTGCTTTAATTATGGACCAATTTACCTTTGCTATAATTTAGCCTCATCAAAAGAAAGAGGACATACTTCGCAGCTGAGTGTCATGTACCGGAAAATTAACCAATGGCAACTAAAAATCAATATTTTAGTCTCTTTTTTCTCACTTTCTTCCTTTCTTATTTTTTCTGTCTCCTTTGTAGGGCTGTAAACGAACTGAACGTTCGGCGAACCGTTCGTGAACTGTTCGGCGGGAAGTTCGTTTATATTCATTTATTTAATAAATGAACGAACATGAACAAAAATTATCGTTCCTTTAGTTAAATGAATGAACATGAACAATGATCTCATTCGTTCATTTATGTTCTTGAATGTTCGTTTATGATGTTCATTTACGTTCGTTTATGTTTGTTCGTTTAAGTTTATTTATATTCATCTATATTCAATTATTTTTTATTATATTGCTATAATATATGTTCGTTTATGTTCATATATGTTCAATTGTGTTTATTATCTTTGTTCGTTTATGTTCGTTTAGCATGTTCACGAACATGAACAAAGTAATTTGTTAAACGAACGAACATGAACAAGAAAATCTCGTTCGTTTATCCGTTCGTGTTCGTTTGTTGTTCGGCTAACTTAAACGAACGAACACGAACAAGACCTTGTTCGTGTTCGTTTGGTTCGTTTACAACCCTACTCCTTTGTTTTTCTCTTCTCATCGCTCTTTTGGTTTGTGTGTGTTTATCGGATATCTCATTCCCTGAAACATATACTCAAATTGAACAACATAAATATGACTTTATGTCGATAAAAGAAAATGTTGTGAGTCAGCATGAAGATGCTATAAGTAAGAAAACTTACCAATAAGCTTTAACCGTAACGATAAATAGCTATGGATCATTAGAATCGGGTCAAAAATGACCATAGCTACCATACCTATAAGAATTTTATAGATTTAGAATAATATAACTTGCTACTTTTAAGAATCTGAGGACAATTATGCAATAAAAACAATATAGTGTGGTGGTTTTCCAAATTCACCATTTGCCAAATTCCTCGAACTGCAACAGTAATATGGATTAACCACCATATGAACTGAAATTTCTAGTTTAAATCTAAACTAACGGCTACCTGTGCAAAGCAACAACCGCCCGGTTTTGTTGGTTTCACAGGGTTTTTTCTTTTCCATTTTCAGTCATATTCCTCATAGTTAATAGGACGGTAGGGTAAATCACAAATAAAAAACCTTCATAAAGTATAAAGACATACCAGGTTTGATTGGAGAAGCTCCGATTTCCAATGTGGAGAGAGGTGACACAAGCGAAGCCACTTTACTTCCCTACCGATGGTTGTAGTCGCTAAAAGACAATCCTCCGCTTATAATTACCAAAAAGGCAATTTCAGCAGGCCCTAACATAAAACTCAAATCAACAACATCCAAACGTTTACCCTACCTCCATCGACGACCGGAGTTGGGTAATAACTGAAAAAAAATGAGTAGGAGGTGAAATTGAGCCCTCATCAATCCCACACTGGATTCAAAACTAAAGCCAACCAATGAAAACATGTAGACACAATATGAGCATTGAATGTTGTACTCATCGAGTCCTAAAATCAATCAGAAACTGCAAAACACATACCCAAATCAGATTTAAGATCGAAACTCGAAACCTAGAGAAACATCAGCGCGAATGGATTGGGAGAAAGTGTTTATCATGCTGTTAATAGAGAGAATCGATTGTTAAAAATCATCCACTTAAAAACCAATCACAGAGCATAAAACACTTACCGATTCAGACGCAAGTCAAAAGCCCTAAATCGTCGATTTCAATGTGGAACATCTGGTGGTGGGGTGCGACGATTCTGAATCACGCTTTCTAGGGTAGGAGTTGGTGGAGGTCGACGATTCGAAGAAGAAGAAGAAGAAACGTAGAGTCAATTGTCGTGTGTTATAGAAGGTTCCGGGAGTACGTCTGCATCAGCCGAGGTAGGGTGTGGTGGGAGACGGATATTGGTCGACAGAATCGATGAGACATGAGACAAACACGTTGCATGACATTTTTTATCAGCTTGAAAAAAAATAGGCACGTGTAAAGGGATTGGATATCGGGAAAAAATTTATCGTGACAAACCAATTAAAAAAAAAAAAAAAAAAAAAAAAAAAAAAAAAAATTTTACTGTTGCTAAGAATCATATCTTTAATATATATATTAATTGGGACGTACCTATGCTATGGAAGTCAACATACTATATAGGGTCCCTACAATATATTTGAAATGCTTTATGAAAAAAAAGAAAATTTAAGGTGTTTGTTTGTTTTTTCGAAACAAAAACAGTTGAAGTCTACCGACCATATCTGCAACCCTCTGCAGTAGAATAGGTGGACCAAACGGTTGCAGCCAGTAATAAGAAGTTTGATTGTTTTTTAGTCTCTGTAGACTGCTTTAATATACTGAAATTAACTATATAATATTTAAAAATAAATCTAAATAAAAAATTTATTTAGTTCAATCATATATAAAATCAAATATAAGCATTATTGTGATGTTATGATTTTTAAAAATGTTTATATAAAAAAGTAAACATAACATTTACTAAATAAGCATTATTTAAGGAAATTCTATATCGGTCTCGACTTCAAAGAACAAAACAACATGGATGATCAATTTGACCATCATTGACGAAAAACCGAATAGATTTTGAAACCGGTCTGCGTTGACAAGACTCAACGTAAAAGTTTGAAATAAAACTCGATATTAAAGTTTTTGTTTGGCTTTTCGTAAAAACTTAATGCTTTGACTTTTTATTCGTATTGGGCTTTAACCCGTAATTATTTTTGTTTTAAGAGTTTCGGAATCCAATAGTATGAAAAGCCCAATTGCCTTAATGAATCGCGCATCGGATGCGGATGCGACGATTCCCAACGGCTAGTTGCAGACACTCAACAAGTTCAAAAATTAAACAGATCTCGCACACAAATCAATGCAATTGTAAGAAGAATTAAACGGCTACATTTTTCTCTCAATCGATCTTTTCTTGTGTCCAAAAAAATGGAAGAGCAAGTGCTTGAATCAGTGCAGGAGGTGGTCAACGGCAACATGGTAGAGGAAACAGAAATGAATACAGAGGAAGCAGAGGTGGATCAGGAAGAAGTTAGGAAGGTGGAGGACGAAGACGAAGACGACGAGGAGTTTTATGAGAGAATTGAAGCGCCTAAGTTCATCGATTTCACTAAACCCTACCCCTTCCGCACTGACGATCGCTACTGGTTCTGCTCCAGGGTTGGTATGTCATTCAAATTCCTCACTTCGGTAAATCAATCAATGAATTCGGGACGTTTTCGATTTAGAACTTAGCTGTAATGGTGAAATTTAGGGTTTAATAGTCGATCGGTCCTTATTTTATATGGTCCCACACTCCCACTGATTCGCTCGTTCTAGGAATTTAGCTATGTTTGATAAAGTTCAAGTCTTAAACCTCGCTCTTTAAAAAATCCACCGAAATTGGTTAGTAAAAGCTTGAGAAACCACCCATTTTTTAAGTAATTTGAGGAAACAAGTGTAGCAATTTAGATATTAAACCACACTGACTGCATAAACTGCAATTACTACATCATAATTCAAGATTTTTTTAATTAGGATTTATGGTCGAACATGATCTACTAGATGAACTATGGCTTTTTTGTTACTTCGCAACTAGAATGGGGTCCATAAATCGGAATTAGGTTTTGAATCTGCAAAATGGGATTATTTTGGGTTGGAGTTTATTTCAGCTATGTAGATCTACCCATTGTCCTTACTTCACACAAATTAACATGATCCGAATTGTGTCCAGGTTGTGACAGAAAGCATGAGGAAGAAATAAACCCAGAAGAGATCTCTAAAAACTTTGTTCTTCGGGTGAGTGTTCCTCTTTTTATTGCAATAACAATAAGCTCGAATCCAGGCATGGCCTTTTAGAAACTGATAAATTTCCAACAGGTATTGGCAGCAAGAAGTCCCAATATTAAGCTTCGAAGAGCACTAAACAGGGATCAATCTAGGTACGTACATAAAGACTATAATACCCTCCTTGGCAACAGAAAAAACCGAGAATCAAATACTAACACCTCCAATTCTGTTTCTTTAGCATGAAATGTCCACTTTCAGCTCCTGCAAAACCTTCAAAGCCCAGGATACCAAGGTTAGCAGGTGTTTCTTGTTCGATTTCCCAAAAGATATGTGAGCCACAAAGCAATATCAGACCTTGTTCAAAAGTCGGTTCTACCCCTGTGGTCAAGACAAGACAAGTTGCTGCCAAGTATATGACAACTCCAAGGAACAAAAAGTGTCTTCCAAATCCTAACTCATGTCAAAGTGTTCCAAATCCAAAGACAACCACAGTTGATGTGGCTAAGAATCGAACAGTAGCAAAGGCTCTTGTTTTTCACTCTCCTAAGAAGGCCATCAGTCTTAAAAAGTCTGTTGAATTGCGTACTCCTTTAAAGAAGATTTGTGAAGGGATGAAGAGGCTTGAGATAGCAAGCCAAAAAAAGACATCAAAGAGTATCAAAAGCAAATTAACTGAAGATTCTTCAAGAAAGCAACTCAAGATTTGCAAAGCTGATAAAAAGTCCAAGGATTTGGCACCTTCCAAGTCTACCAAGAAGATCCCAAATCGTAATGAGTCTGGTGACATGGATGTTGATGTGAAAACAGAAGAGGATCTGCAACCTAAAGAAACTTCAGACAATTCAATCCCACATGCTTCTAAAGCTGAAATTAACTTGTTGCCAAATTTAGAAGATAAAGAGAAAAATGAAGATGATGATAAAGAAAATGCTCGGAATTTAGAAGATAAAGAGGATATGGGAAGTTTAGAACATCATTCAAACGAAGATGATGGTAAAGAAAATGCTCCAAACCCTCAAGATAATAACAGGTATGAAAAAAATTTGTAATTTCTGCTTTTTTACTTTCTCTCTTTTGGTTCTCATCACAATGCTTATAATTTTGTATACAAACAGATTTAAAAACCAAGCATTGGGCAATAAGATTCTTGGCAAGGAGACACTTAAAAAGAATAAGGTTAGATTCTACTTTCTTTTTTTCAAAAAATTAAATTTTTAAATATTCCCTTTTAGTTTCTAATAGCTTATAACTTTGTATGTACTGTTTATATAGGTAGTTCAAACTGCTCGTCCTGCACTGGCAAAATGTAAAAAACCACAGCCTACTAATGTCAAGCCTTTTAGGCTAAGAACCGATGTAAGCATTTGCTTTTGCAATTTCAGTTCTACTTCACTTTATAAATTATTATTCTTTAATCATTTATGATGTGATATTGGTTTCTTTTAGGAAAGAGGGATTCTTAAAGAAGCCATATTAGAGAGAAAGCTTAATCTTCCTGCTCATGAGAAGGAGGTTGCAAAAGATACAACATGTCTTGTAAAAAAAAGGATGCAAGTGGGATCAAAACCAGTTCCTAATACGACACAGCAAAGACCCAAAGCCAGTTTAAGGTCAAGATCACCTTCTATCCAGCCACAACCTCAAGGGTAACTTTTTTTTCTTTTTTTTTTTTAAAAAAAAAACAATAAAATCTTTTCTAACTTGATTGTATATAAAAAAAAAAACTATATATGCAGGGTTGCTTCACCTAGGAAGAAGATTAGGAGGCCAGGTCAGCAATTGGGTGTAATAAAGGAGAAATCTTGTAAATTAACCAGTGATGAGGTGGCAGTGAACAAAAGTAGAGCAGCTTCTGCTCCAAAAGGAAAGCTGTCTGTGACTATTGCTAAAGAACCGAATTTTCACACCTCACATCTGCCAAGGGGTTGCTTCAAGAAAACTGCTTAAAGTTGCATCAATTCCTTCCTTCCATGGTGGTTGGTGGTTTTTATGTTGTATGTAAGATCTCTATATCCTCAATCATTCATTGAATTTCAGTTTTTGTTCCATGACATTCATTTGTTCAATTATCCAATTGATTGATTCTTATGCAAAGAGGATTTATGATCTCATACATGGGAATTCAAAAATGCAATGCTAATTGTGTTGTGTCCAAAATTGTATCTATTTTATCTTGTCTTGATGATGTTCTTGAGCTTTTCATTTGCTGCTACAAGTTCTGCTGCTATGCCTGGTTCATTAGCAGAATGCCCTGCATCTGCAACCACCTGTTTCAACAACAAAATTTACTCATTCATCAACAACTACTATTTTTTAAAAAAGTTTTAATAATAAATACCTTAAATTCAGCTTCGGGCCAAACTTTATGCAGATCCCATGCTGACATCATGGGGCAGCAACAATCATATCTTCCCTGTCAAAAATATAATCAAAACCAGTCAGTTTAATTAAAGGGTATTTGATGAAGAAAATTAGGAAATGATCTTACTTGGACAATTACAGCATTGATATGCTTGATCTTGTCAACATTATCCAAGAGGTATGAATCTGTTGAAAAGAATCCCTTGTTCACAAAGTAATGGTTCTCAATCCTTGCAAAAGCCTGCATGTTTTGTTTAAACACAACTCTTTTATATACTTTGAAAACTCTACCCAATCATATCATTACAAAATATTTTGTATTTGGAATTTACCAGAGAGAAAGCATCATTGTCCCCTCTCTTAATAGTCTCTTCATTTGGCAGCAAATGAGCAGTCATCATTTCCCATTTAGTCCAAGCTCTTGCAGCTGCATACTAATAACAAAAATACAACTCTTTTATATAATTAAAAAAAAAAAAAAAAAAAAAAAAAAAAAATACATTTATGCATCACAACAAAAGTCCTCTTCTATTACTTGTGTGTTTATGTCAGGGGAGTTCAATCTCTTATGGTAAGCATTCACAAAGCAGTCTCTTTCCTTTTCTGGTATAAGATCCCTAAATGGCTCCCAAGCTGTAGTATTTATTTGAAAAATAACAAATCACACAAACTATTAGTCTATTATTCAATTAATTAATCATTTTAAGTTGTAAAATAATATAAAACAAGCTCACCATCAGGGTAGATTGCTGCAGCACCACCTTCATAAAACCAATCAATCTCTTTCTTCCTCAATAAAAAGATCCCTCTAAGAACTATCCCAGTCACCTTAAAATCATAACACAAAAAACCAGTAAAGCTTTCGACTTAATACAGAAAGAACGACTTAACAGATAAAGAACTTTTTACATTGAAACAAAAGCGAGATAGATACCTACCTTATCAGGGTGGGATTGGCTGTATGCAAGAGCAAGTGTGCTTCCCCATGAGCCACCAAACACCTAATAACAAACAAATGACAAAAATAGGTGATTCACATTCAATAAATCATATAAAGTAAATACAAAACAAACCTGCCATTCGGGGATTTCAAGGTGTTCTCTTAGTTTTTCAATATCTTTAATGAGATCCCATGTTGTGTTCTCCTCCAAACAAGCATGAGGTGTACTCTTACCAGCTCCTCTCTAAAAGAACAACAATAAACTAAAAGTTAAATAACATGTAGGCTCGTTTGTTATATAACTTTAGAACAGGTTGTGTGTACCTGATCAAAAAGAATAATGCGATAAAATTCAGGGTCAAAAAATCTTCTATTACTTGGTGCAGTTCCACCTCCTGGGCCCCCATGGAGAAATACAACTGGCTGCAATGTATTAAATGATCATAAACAAACTAGGCATAACCAAGAAAATTTTATTTAATCTCCTTTTGCCCTAAATAATCATATGATCAATAATCTAGTGAATCAAGAACTAATTGAAATGTGGAATCGAGAAACCATAAATAGAAAATTAAGTAATGATTGATCACTCACATGGCCAGAAGGATTCCCAGATTGCTCCCAGTAGATAGTGTGAAGATCAGAAACTTTCAAAAAACCAGTAGCATATGGCTCTATATGTTCGTAAAGATTCTTGTTTAACTCTTGAACCTCTTTCTTTAAATCCATTGATTCTGTGATTACCGGTATTAATTCGCTTTTATTGCAAGGAATCTGAGCTCTCAAAATTAAACTCCCTCGTCCTGCAAAAATCCAATTAGATTTCTTCGATCGTCAACGTTTCCGACAGGCGTTTGATCTTAAAACTTCTAATTTCGAAAAAACAGAAAATATAATTCTCACGTAACTTGCCAAAATTGACAGTTAGTAACAGATTAACAAGAGCCCATATGGTTTTTTTTTTTTAAGAAATTAGTTTAAGAAAAGGGAAATTAACCTAAAAAGACAGTTTGTTCTTGTGATCGAAGACAGAAAGTATGAAATCTTTAATGATGGAATCTTTACAGAGAGAGAGAGAGAGAGAGACCTGTGAAAGTGGTATTCTTATTGTGGGGAAATGTGAACAATAATAGATTGTGGGATTGAGAGATGGAAAGTGGAGTAGCAGAGAAGCGTGGAAGAAGAGTGTTTTGTAGAAGCCCTAAACTCATTTTAGAAATTGAAATGGTGAAAAAAATGCGTACCTATCGAATGCCCAATAATTAGGTTTGGTTTGCCATGGTTTTCACTTTTTTTTATTTATTTTATTACAATAATGCAATCATTAGAAATTGGTTAACAGATCCTACCTATTGTCTTCATTCATTCAGATTCAGATACAGATTCCATGGCTTGTAAGACTAATTCCAATCTATGGGTGGGTTTGTCATGGCACCAAAGTTGTTAGCTAGCTATAGTTGTAGAAAATTATAATCTTTATTTGTTATTTCTATGTTTGATAAAAATAATTAAAAACTTTTGAACCTATAAAATTATATAAAATTACAATCGTTTAAAAAGAAAAATATCTAAATACAGTCTAGAAAATTGATTAGAAAAATGTGAATATGACTTATCAAGGTAATTAACTTTTCGATATGTTCACATCTGGGTAACTATCTTTTTTTTGTACATATGTAGGTAACAAACTTTTTAAGAGTGTTCACATATGACCATTATGACCTGCTATAACAGGTTAAATCCTAAATGTGAACGCTTTCAACAAGTTTGTTACCTAGATGTGTAAAAAAAAATAGTTACCCAAATATGAACAAAACGAAAAGTAAAAAATTAAATTACATGAATGGTCCCTGTAGTTTGGGGGAATTTGTGGTTTTGGTCTCTAAATTATTTTTTTAAACTTAAATGGTTCCTACTGTTTATTTTTGTTGTACGTTTGGTCTCCATCTTACCTAAAAATACTATTGTGCCTTTATTAATTTATTTTTTTAATTAATTTTCTTATCTATGTTTATTTTTTTTACATATTTATAAAAAATAAAATACCACACATATTTATATCTCCTCGGATGATCCCTACTATTTATTTTTTATTTAATTTAATTTTTTAACTCGGATCGTCCCTACTATTTAATTTTGTTACGAACTTAATCTCTGTCTTACCTAAAAAGATTATTGTGCCCTTATTAATTTTTTTTAATTAATTTTCTTGTTTATGTACTTATGCTTTATATGTTTTAGAAAAATTAGTAGACCTCACATATCTGTATCTCCTCACCATTCCATCTTTCATCATTCTCAACTTCTATTTATTTTTCATCTTTAGTGATATCGACGTCTTCATCATCACTTCTTTTTTCGGTCCTTCAACTCCGTCGAAACAACACCACAACCCACTAAATATGAAGAGACAGTAGGTTATGGTGTTAGTTCGCCAGAGTTGAAGTACCAAAAAAAAGAAGGACGGTGAAGACGTTGATGTTACTAAAGATGGAAAAGAAATAGAAGATGGGGAGATCAGAGATGAGATGGTGAATGGTAAGACTCAAATTAAATTTCTCAAATATGGTTTCATGTTTACGGTGATAAGATACATATATGTGGGGTATATTAATTTTTTTTATAAAAAATAAATACATAAATAAGAAAATTAATTTAAAATTTTAATAAGGGAAAAATAGTATTTTTAGATAAGACAGAGACAAAACGCGTAACAAAAATAAACAGTAAGGATCATCCGAGTTAAAAAAATATATAATTAAAAATAAACAGTAGAGATCATCCGAGGAGATACAAATATGTGTGGTCTATTAATTTTTTTAAATATGTATAAAATAAATACATAGATAAGAAAATTAATTAAAAAAATAAATTAATAAGGGCACAATAGTATTTTTAGGTAAGACGGGGACCAAACGTGCAACAAAAATAAATAGTAGGGACCATTTAAGTTAAAAAAATAAATTAGGGACCAAAACCACAAATTCCCCCAAACTACAGGGACCATTCATGTTGTAACGACCCAATTTTCATGTCCAAAAATTTTCATTTTAAAGTATTACTTTTAGAAAACATTAATAAATAAAAGCATTGTTTGATCACGCCATAACACATCGCAAACCATGTTTTAATATTCAAACCATACAATCCATCAAATATCAGAGTACAATCCCAGTAAATCTCGTAATGCGGAAACCGAAGAGTGTGTGTGTGACATGCTGCTACCGTGCCGGCTCCTTTCCCCTAGCTGAGGAGGTACCTGAAACCAAAACTGAAACCGTAAGCACAAAGCTTAGTGAGCTCCCCCCATAATACCCCATACCATACAGCATATAACAAAACATGCAATTAGGAGATACGGGCCCCGCCCACACTCGTGAGGATACGGGCCTCGCCCACACCTCACTTTCTGAGAGATACGGGCCCCGCCCACACTCGTGAAGATACGGGCCCCGCCCACACTTCGCTACCTGGGAGATACGGGCCTAGCCCACACTCCATTCTCGGAGGGATACGGGCCTCGCCCACACCCAACCGTCAACATATATCATACATGTATCACGCAGACAACAAGTATAAACAGTTCTATCATACTGGTATATATATATCACAATCAACTTGACTAATAGATACGGGCTCGGCCCACACTATAATACTAACATCACATCTATACGGGCCGGCCTTGGTGCCTTAGACCCATTACTAATGAAAGGAAACTCACCTCGAAATAGCTGCTGGTCTGTGTGGGAACTGATCACCTACTACTGCTGCTGCTGCTCCGGAAACTCCCCGGCTGTAACTCCCACAATATACTTAATCATACACTGCTAACTGTCCTTTGGGTAAAAAGACCATTTTACCCCTGGTCTAGCCCTAAGTCAAATCGAAGTCAATATTATTAGTTTACCCGACTCGCCGAGTGGATCTCCACTCACCGAGTCCCTAGCAAACTATCGTCCTGGGTCCCTGATTCTACTCGTCGAGTTGGGCTATGACTCGACGAGTTCATCTTCTAAACTGACGTTCACCCTCTTCATCCTACTCGCCGAGTTGTATGAACAACTCGTCGAGTTCATCTTCATCCGAAGAACACTTTATGCTAAGACTCGCCGAGTTGTAAGAACAACTCGTCGAGTCTGTTCTTGATCTATGAAGATTGCCTTGGACTCGCTGAGTCAGGGCATTGACTCGCCGAGTCCTATCATGGGTGAGTTCAGCTTCCAACTCACCGAGTCACCCCCTGTGACTCACGGCTCAACTCGATACATCTTAAAGGGACCGGTTCAGTGACTCGCGACCAGACTCGTTGAGTCACCTATACGACTCGTCGAGTCGTCGCCGTGCATCCACCAAATACACAGATTTACTCGATTTCAGTCCATGCCATTCATAGATCTGGACTTCTAGGACACAAATCACACGTAAAGTTTCCAACTTTACGTGTGGATATTCACTAATGTGGATTTTAGGGTGCAAAATGCCTCAAAAGGGTAGATCTAGGATGAACAAGCCACATGGGGCCATAAAGCTCACAGATCTGAGCTCCTGGAGCTCAATCTTGCTTAGATCTAAAGGTTAATCCACTTATTACGAATCATTAAGCACAAACAAGCTTGAAGAATTGCCCAAGAGTGTCCCAAATGAAATTCTAAGCATAGAAACAGGGGGGAAAACGAGATATACCTCAAGGAAAATGTTGAAATGACACAAAGATGGCTGATCTCCTTCTTTCTCTTCTTGATCTACTCCTCTTTCTCCTCCAAACCTTCAAGAACACACCAAGAACACTTCAATCTCTTAAGGAAATAAGGGAAAACGATGTTGGGGGAGTTCTGGGGGTGAATGGGGACGAGTTGGGGCGGAATGAGGGTTTAAATAGGGTGCAAACCCTTGAAACTTAGGGTTTCATCCAGCAGCGGTGACTCGCCGAGTCCAGGATATGGACTCGCCGAGTCGCCCACTTAAACGTGTCCTGAGTCTCGTCCCTACTCGGCGAGTCGGACCTTATGACTCGCCGAGTCCAAGGCTAAAATAGGGCAATGCTCAAATAAAATTCACATACCGGAAACCAGGTGCTACAAATCTCCCCCACTTATTTTAGACTTTGTCCTCGAAGTCTGCTGCCCGGCCCTGAAACAGCTCGGGGTAATGCTCCATCATCTCGTCCATCGGTTCCCAAGTCCATTCCGAACCCTTGCGGTGCTGCCATTGCACCTTTACTAGTTCTACCCTCTTGTTTCTCAACGTCTTGGTCTTTCTGTCAAGTATTGCGACTGGGCGCTCAATGTAATTCAAGCTGTCATCAACCTGAATATCCTCCAACGGTACTACTGCTGAATCGTCCACCAGGCACTTCCGCAGCTGCGAAACATGGAAGGTGCTGTGGATCTGACTGAGCTCGGCTGGCAGATCCAGCCTATACGCCACCTTGCCCACCCGGGCTGCAACCCTGAACGGCCCGATGAATCTTGGGCCCAACTTGCCCCGCTTCCTGAATCGAATGACACCTTTCCAAGGTGAGACTTTCAGGAGGACCATATCCCGACTTGGAACTCCAAGTCGGATCGACGTCTATCGGCGTAGCTTTTCTGCCGACTCTGTGCAGTCTGAAGTCTGCTCCGAACCTGCTGGATCCTCTCGGTCGTCTCTAGCACCACCTCGGTGCTTCCCATGACTCTCTGGCCAACCTCCCCCAACATATCGGGGTTCTGCACTTCCGCCCATACAACATCTCGAACGGGGTCGGTCAATACTCGCGTGATAGCTGTTGTTGTAGGAGAACTCAGCCAAGGAAGATAGGTATCCCAGCTACCACCGAAATCCAGCACACACGCCCGCAACATGTCCTCCAAAGTCTGGATGGTCCGCTCACTCTGACCATCTGTCTGCGGGTGAAAGGCGGTGCTGAAATGCAGACGAGTGCCCAACTCGTCATGGAATTTCTTCCAAAATCTGGAAGTAAAACGCACATCTCTGTCCGAGATCACCGATACTGGCACTCCATGCCGTGCCACAATCTCCCTGATATAGATGTCGGCCAATTTTTCGGCCGATATGCTCTCCTGAATTGGAATAAAGTGAGCACTCTTGGTCAATCTATCCACGATGACCCAAATCGAATCCACTCCCCGTGCGGTCCTGGGAAGCTTTGTGATAAAATCCATCGTGATATCTTCCCATTTCCACAGTGGAATGTCCAACGGCTGCATCTTGCCATGCGGTCTCTGATGTTCGGCCTTGACCTTCCTGCAGGTCAAACACCGCTCGACGTACCATG